GAAAAGTCAACAAAGCACTGACTGAACAAAAGTCTAGTCTCAAGTACTAAAGCCCGTTCCTAGCTATAAAAAACTGATCTGAATCTTTTAAAGAAAGGTGAGGGAAGTTTAAACGTCGCATTTCACCTCAACAGCGAGTATTTGCTGTGATTTTCTTTACATTCGACGAAATTACTTTCCTCCTTCGCGCAGATTTCAATTCTTTTAAATACTTATTGCAAAAGCAAAAATACAAGTGCCTCAATCCACACTAATTACAAACATAATTTCTTCTACAATACACTAAATATAGTATTACATCTTTATATTTTTATTCATTAATATAAAAAGTTGACGGTATTTTGTGAAATAATGAAACTAGACGTTTTGAATAATTTTAACTCATATCCTTATACATATGTATTTATTTTTACTCGTTTTTAATTAGCATTTACCGTTTTTAATCGAATAACTTAAAAAATATTGCTCTTAATGTTTTGTATTATACAATATGACATTTACAAGCATTATTACTTCAGTAAAAATCGTAAAAACAATTATTTGTGATTATTACTCAAAAGATAAAATCTCAATTCAACATAAAAAGATCTTTATAATTAGACGAAGCTTGTTATTTCTATCAATGAATAGCAATAAATTCTTTTCAATTTTATCTCTTACGGAAAAGCGTTCATATAGAATCTCTTCAAGTGTTTATATATTTTGCTATACGTATTTCAAGTAATCTTATCAATTACAAGAGCCATCGAGTTCGACAGCCATGTTTAAGATCCTCGACGCTCTCAAATAAATCCTTTTTCAAACGACGCTTTAATGTTTTATTAAGATGTTTAATGTAGAAGGTTCTTTCGAGAGATGAAAATCTGTCTATTTTATAGCTTACTTGTAAAATGAATAGGCGTATAATGTAATAGCCTTTTCAATTAATACACGTTATAACGAGTTTTAAGTCCTTTAAACTGTATAATTCATTTCTTTTAATCGAATTTGTATCATTAATCACCAGGTCCGAGCATTAATTAAATGTTCTTTATAAAGCGAGGCAAAAAATAAATTACTTATCACTCTTATTGAAAACTTGTCAGCCAATTAAAAATGCACCGATATTGGTCTATTTATGTACGAATGCAATTATAATAGTTTTTGATTGCACTTAGCAAGCACGTTTTACGCGCATATTTGTTGGTCTGCAAAAATGCGCTACTAGACTAAGATTATACACGCGAAAGTACATAACATTGTAAATTCTTTATTAATTCCGTTGTATTAACATTTTCTAAGACCTAGAAAAATCATTCTTTTACATTTTTGCTTGTCGTATACTGCTTACTTACTTGTAGGTCTTCCTAGAATTGTCTTTCTATGGCTTCACGTTAAAATATACCCGTGTCTTTATAAAATTTGAACAAATACCAAGTAAATACTTACCTGATCTTGTTAAAATTCATATTTTTACAACAAGGGTTATAATTTATTCGATTTAACAATTACGATCAAACAAAGATTTTTCTTTTCAAAACAAGCATTCTTTTAAATTTCAATAATCTATCCTTGTACACCACACGGTAGATAAAAAATATTTAGTTTATGAGCTAACAGTGCTTCATACATATAATAATGTATTCAAAAAGACGACATTTTTAGATATTCTATGTTCAAGGCGGCAAAGTTAATATGGAACAAATTATTTAACAATCCCAATGGAAAGAACCCCCTAAAATACAAATATTTATAGAGTCGTATTTTTTGACGGAAAACAACGGTGAAGGAAAACATCGTGAGGAAACCTGCATGTCTGAGAGAACCTAGCAAGTTTTCGAAAGACATGTGAAGTCCGCCTGAACCCGCACTTGGCCAGCGTGGTGGACTACGGCCTGATCCCCCTCGTATTGGGAGGCCCGTGCCCAGCAGTGGGACGTCAAAAAGGGCTGAATACATACATACATACTGTTACATACATACATTTTGTTAACTGTTACACGTTTTTATGTTGTTTTAATGTTACACATCTTAACATTACTAGCTAACGTTATAAATTTACTTTTTATTAGAAACATTTCAAATGATATTTTTATTTTTATGATTGCAATATGTAGAGCAAATATTTAGTGCCACTAAGAATTTTCATATTTAAGTTGTTCCAAGGTTTACGTAATGCAGAGCTCGCTGTTTGCCAATTTTCAACATAAACTGCTATTTTATCATAATCCGACAGAGACACCTAATTATTATTGATTTATCAACGAATGAAGCTAACAACAATCGAAACGTATTCGTCATCATTATTATATTTAAACTATCTGTTTTTTAAACAAAATCAATAAAATATATACATATAATAAAATTCTAACTAAGACGAATCTGTACATTAAATATTTTTTGTAAAATCTTATTAAAATAGTCATTATTATCGATACAGAGGCCGAATCTATAGTTTTTAGAATTTTTGTCTGTCTGTCTGTCACCGCATCACGGGAAAACCACTGGATAGATTTTGATGAAATTTGGTATGATGATAGCTGGTTATCCGGGTCAACATATAGGATACTTTTTACCGCGGGAAAATATCTCAAAACTGCAATGTAAGACTATACTAATACGTAAAACCTAAGAATTTGGATTTTGGTCATCTGAACGCGCGCGGAGCCACGGGCAATGCTAGTCATATTATAAAAAAGACGACTTATATAATACATACATTGTATTTTAAAAAGAGCTTAAAATATTACGCTTTGTTATAAGTACTTATATATGTAATATTTCATCGAACAATTTTCATATACTTTACTACCTACTGAATACTTATATCGTCAGGTTCTTTATTTATGTAAGTTATTAGTACTTTAAATTTTTAGGTGTGATAGAAATGGGAATGTTCGCTAAATATAGATTTTAAATTTATTTTTTTGTATAATCTGCGATAATACCGTATATTATAGAATAAAAATGGCTGTGATATTTATGATAAGGCTTATCGTTCGGCTATGACTAATATGCGAAATACTTCAATAATTCGTTATATCTATGTATGTATGTATATATGTATTATATAACAGTTACATTTTATAGACTATTAACCAATTTTTTATTTAGTAATATTTACATAACTATTTCTGTCCTATATATACCTAATATATTTTTTAGTAAATATGTTGGTAACATTAGATATATTGTTCCTCTTCTATGCAAACGTTTTAAGAAAAACAATGCTTGAGTTTCTCAATTGACATCCTCAGCGCTCTTTATTTTAGCTTTATGGCCCTTTGACATAGACTAGAGTAGGGTTTCCCAACCTTTCTTCTGTTGAGCCTCCCCAGATTATAAAAATATTTTCATACCCCCTCTTAAATTTTGTTATTATAATAAAACACGTTATTTTAATGATTTTTGTTTATTTTAGTTTAAGTAAATTCTTTCTACGCCTCCCTGTTTGAGAACTCCTAGCCTAGAGGAATGTTACACGCTTTAAATTTTAAAATAATCGTTCAAATCGGTAACAAATTTGAAATTAATGAGTAAGCTAACTAGTAAATAGTAAGTACACGTAATATATTTAATGAATTTAAATATTTTCTTTTACGTAACGTACGCTATCTTTTAAATTGTTATTACTTAGCCGACTCAAACGGCCAATAGCATTAAAAAAAACTCTTATCTTTTCTAAGCCCCTAAAGCAATGAATACAAAAAAGCAGGTAAACACCCGTAAAGAATTGAGGAGACCTTTGGCCATACCTAGAATATAATGGGAACAGCTGCTTAATCATCTGTTTTATTTCTAAAGAAAAACTATGACGAATTACGAGTACAACGTGTAAGCACGTAAAAAATGTGCCTAGAACGATAAGTAGATAAAATTCAACGATAGTTTAACGATGCGAAGTTTATTATTAATATCATAAAAAGTAAATACTTTCAAGTTACCATAAAGAAGAAAACCATAGATAATTTATTCCTACTGTGCATTATAATCTATTCCTTTAGCTTTTAAATTATATAGCATGTATCTAGAAGCGGCAACATCGCCACAGACGGGCTTATTCTTGCAATGGAAGCGGCAATATCCATTATGAAGTTAATGATTATTCAAATTAGATCGTAAAATTAATAAGATATCTATTACAGCCTGCGTAAAGTATAATAAATGTCGTATTTCGAAGTCTGTAGAGGCGTTAGTTCCGAGGTTTTCTGTGATTAATATTTGATTATGATGTTAATGTTGTTATTACTCGTTAGTGAGGATAGCTTTAATTAATGCAGTAGTATCGTTGGGAGTTTATCTCACTTGATGTTGATACATATTTAGGATAATACGGTTTTTTATGTAGATACTAAAATAGTATTACTTGTCTTAGAGTAAAGACAAAGAAACTTTCGTTTCTTGTATTTGAATTAGTTAAATTATTATTAAAAGTAAGTACATTGTGCTACTAAATGATCCAGACTTGGAAATAATTTTAACTAAGTACAAAGTGGGATATTATTCAATTTATAGACTGCCTTAAGTAATAGGTAATATTAGGAATTAATATATTTTATAGGATTATATAAACAAGCCGTTTGTACGTCGGCTCTTAAAGTCCGTCTTATCGGCTCCCTTGTCGACTAAATGGGAAGGCAAACAGTCCACAGCTTGTTGACACGGCGCGATCCGACCGCTTTATAAATATTTCGAGCGCGGCGGCCACCACAGGCCACAGCCATTATCCCATTAGGGAGGGCAATAGGCATTACTCACTCTCAATGTGTAGCTATTAGCCGTTGCCGATGCCCGCGGCACGTCGCCTCCCCGCCGATATCAACTTGTATTAAGTATGAGATAAAATTTAACATTAAAGGTACAACCGAGCTGAAATCCATAAAAGCTTTTGAAGTGCAGAGCGATGCCTCCCCGCCCTCCCCTACCCCCCACATGCACCGGTTGCGTGCGACGTTTATATGATTCCTCGGAATCGAGCCCATTTACTGCACAGTGTATACCATGATATAAAGATCGCTCACCTCAAGCTCCGCCGGCTCCTCCGCCGCCAAAACAATCCACGGCTTTGTTTCAATACGCGATCGATACGCACCGACCGACCCTCTACACCGTAAAAGCAAAGTAAATTGCTTTTAATCACCATTCAACACATAAACGAACTCGACCGACCCGCTCCACGATATTAGCAGTTTAAAACTTCACATAAACATGTACAGTACACCTCACTATTGACAGTCGATCCTCGGGGCAGTGTAATCAAATCCATAGTAGGTATAAACAAATAACATTGGTGATTTCACGGTGGAAACACTAGCTTAGCGTATCGCACGTCAGCGCCGCTGCGAGTCGGCGGCCGAGCGCGGAACGCTACGTGTCCCCCGGCCGCGCGGCCGGCGCGAGAGCGACAGGGACGCGCTATACGCGACACGCAAGACCGACAGAGACGGACGATCCGCACAAAAATGTGAGAAGGGCGCATACTGATCGCGACCGGTGGCGTCTCTCGCAACCGCCATGTATCGACATCGCAGATCTATACGACACGCGATTAAAGATAGTGAAGCATTAGTATCGGCACTGCTGAAGCATTTCATTCATTACAATAAATTATCTGACAATTACCGCGTGCTGCGAAGGTCGTTGACCCACATGTAAGCTGTGTCAGCTCTCGCTCTAATTGATTCCTTTGCCACTACAAAGATCAAAAGATTGTTCAGAATGTTTTTTTAATTATGATTTATACTAAATTTGACTTATTTTTGTACGTTAGATATAATATTTTTATCTCTTTTTATTTGTATTTAAAATTTATAACCTGATTTTCAGATCCAAGATAGTACGTAAATAGCTTAATTTAAAAGATTAATTATATTTTATACGAATTCCGCTTCGCTGCTAATTGCACTAATTATATCCAATAAAAAAACGTATTAAAATTTGCTTTAACTCAACATTAGTTTTAGCGATGCGTTAAAGTTAAATCGTTATGCATAATATATATTATAATATAGTCAAATGAGATAAATTAATATACTCGTATAACTTAAACGACTTGCTCTAGACATTTGCATAACATTTCTTAAAAAATTATCATTTAAAAGATATTTTATTTTTTATACACGCGGTCTATTTTTACGAGTTAATATAGGTATAAATCCATGTTGAAAGTTGTAAAGATGGATGGATGTTTGTTACTCTTTTACGACAGAACTGCTAAATGGATCTGGATGAAAGGCAGAGATAGATTAGTCTGGAATATATAGGCTACTTGTCCCGGAAAAATATACAGTTCTTGTTATGGGATATTTGTTTTTTGCTAGTGTAGACGAGTCGCTATCATCTTATCTATTCTAATTTATAAAGAAGAATAAATTCTTTTTTTGTTTGTATCGAATAGGCTCCCGAAACTACTGAACCGTTTTAGATGAAATTTGGTAAGAGGTTCGAGACCCTGGGAAGGACATAGGATAGTTTTTATTCCTGAATTCATCCCATAAGGGGGTGAAAATGGAGGTGAAAATTTGTATGGGAAATCAACCTAGGGACGAACCCGAGCGACGCTATGGGTGAGACGCTAGTATTAAATACAGGTGAGAAATAAAAGATGGTAGTAACTTGATATTTTATAATAATAAATACGGGTGAGAAATAAAAAACAGTCTTAATATTTACATTTATTGTTATTCTACATTACCTTATTCTTTAGCGTTTATATTTTGGAAATGTCGTCGTGATTTCGTGAAGTTACCTCACAGTTTCACTATAATACATTACACAAATATTCTAATTCTTAAGAATAAATAAATTAGAGCAACTTTCTTATTTGATGGAAATTATAACTAACAACTGACGCTACTTTTGACACATATTTAAATATGTCAATTACTCTACACGTTCCAAAATGCGAAACATTGATTTACATACACTGAAAATTCGAAATAAATACACAAAAATACTTATTTCCATTTAGTTACTTTAATATTATAAAATTGTCTTAAGTAATAGTATTATAATTTTGAAAAATAAGAAAAATTGTCTATTAACACCAAAATGCACTTTTTTCAGAAATCATTTTCAACACATTAAAAAAACACACCACAATGTTGCCATACAAAACTTCTGCTTGCAACTTTCAACAGCATCTAACACCCACGATTTACAAGAGGACACAAAATCGAGTACAAACAAGTCGTATCGCAGATATTAAGTAGATCTTATTTATTATAAATAATATATTCGGAAACTGCTTCGACCGCACATTCAAATTAATGCACATGAAAAGGAATGTGCAAAGTTCTAAATCATCATTTATCATATCCTCCCATTTGAATGTCACCGTCCTCAACCATTCTATGGTCAATGTTGCCAGATGTCTTAATTTAAACAGTTTTTTTGATGGTAACATTTTCTCATATATGAGAAACTACAAGCTAAACAATTTATTTTTCATATCTTGCTATTTCCAACAGTCGAGACATTTTGAATACACCTGGCAATATTTATGGTTGTAGAAGTGGTACTTCCGGGTAGGAAGGTTCCTGTTCATCTTCAGAAGAATGGCCGCTGGCGTAGGAGGGACGACCACTCTTCTCCCTCAGTCAGTACCTAAAGAAATAAACATTAAGAAATTAAATATATAAAAAATTATAAAAAGCATTCATAAGGACTGCCGACAAAAGTGAAAACTTAAAACTATAAACAAACAGTTGTTATTTTTGGATATTCAAATTAATTGATTGATCTTAAATCATTTTTTTTCAAATTAAAACTGTTTACATTTATCTGGTTTTGACATATATCAGCACTCTGAGTGTTAGCGTTAACACGTCCTGTGACCATGTCGATGACGATTTACATGAATCCGAATTATGTAAGTAAATAAGTGAAATTAAACTTGTGGTAAAGATGTCACAATATATAATAAATTACCTGTACAATGAATGATTTTTATTTGATAATGTAAATTGGTTTTAGTTGAATTAAATTTCACGTGTAGCCAAATGTAGTATAATCTATACATATAATAAAATTGTAACTGAGTCGAATCTGTACATTAAATATCTTTTGGAAAATCTAATTGAAATAGTCATCATTATCGATACAGAGTCCGAATCTATAGTTTTTAGAATTTTTGTCTGTCTGTCTGTCTGTTACCGCATCACGAGAAAACCACTGCACAAATTTTGATGAAATTTGGTATGATGATAGCTGGTTATCCGGGTCAACATATAGGATACTTTTTACCGCGGGAAAATATCTCATTTCTGAGAAAAAATAAAAAAACTGCATTGTAAGAGTATACTAATATGTAAAACCTAAGAATTTGGTTTTTGGTCATCCGAACGCGGGCGGATCCGCGGACAATGCTAGTGATTAATAAATGAAAATAGGCTGTTTGTTACATATTTAATAATATAGTTCTTTTTCTAAAAAAGTACCGTTTGTAGAAAAAAAGCAACTTTAAAGTGGTGTAGAATTTTTACCTTACTGTAAGGGCGTAAGTAGTGTTTATAATATAAAAAATCGTATAAAAAACTTGGTTCACAATAGGTGTAAATATCGCCGAATACATACACAAAATAAACAACTTTAAAGTGGTGTAGAATTTTTACCTTACTGTAAGGGCGTAAGTAGTCTTTATAATATAAAAAATCGTATAAAAAACTTGGTTCACAATAGGTGTAAATATCGCCGAATACATACACAAAATAAACAACTTTAAAGTGGTGTAGAATTTTTACCTTACTGTAAGGGCGTAAGTAGTCTTTATAATATAAAAAATCGTATAAAAAACTTGGTTCACAATAGGTGTAAATATCGCCGAATACATACACAAAATAAGCAACTGCTTAAAACGTAACTAGGGACTAACCCCAGCGGAGCGAGAGTGAGTGGCCTAGTTTATAAATATGGAAATAGTGGTGCTTAAATTTTTTATTTTATTTTAAAATGTTAATCGCATAAATCTAAGAAAGTATTATTTTAATAGGATTTTCATTAGCGGGTACCATTAGGAGTAAGATATCTCGAATATTTTGATTTCCAAGACACCTTAATATAATGGTTGATAATAATTGATATTGACAAAGAAAAACGAAAAAGTAAGAATATTTTTTTTGTTATTTGAATACAGTACATAAATATGTATATAATTTTTGTTGAGTGTTGGAGATATTGATATTAAAAAAAATACTTTTTTTAGATCATATATGACTGATTCTTACAAATTAGAGCTACAAAGCTCTTAAGAACCAGTGCTTGTTAATTCTACATGCGGTAGTTGCGATTCAAAAGTTTCAAAATTTTCTTATTAATTCCCTTTTTGAGTGAACGAAAATATTTAAATTAGGGGTACTCCGAATTCCATTATTATATATAATGTTCCTATATTCAAATGTTTGCCTATCTTAATATTACAAATGTGAAAGTTTAGATGTGAGTGTGGTTTGTTTGTTACTCAACGACGGCAGAACGGCTGAGCGGATCTGGATGAAATTTGGCACAGAGATAGATTATAGCTTGATATAGCACATAGGCTTTTTATCCTTTTTTTCACATAACTTTTTATCCCGGAAAAATGTACGGTTTTTTAGGGCTAATAATAAATATTACACTATCGACTTATTCCCCCTCCACTTAAAAGTGCGTCCCTGGGTGCCTAACAGTAACCTATCAGTTACTTCTACGTCCAGTGTACTAAGAAATCAATCCAGCGATTTCAGCGTAAAAGAGAAACAAACGAACATAATTCGCATTTTTAATAGTAGTTCCAATTTTTTCCATACCTTCGAAATGTGTCATGACTGTCCCTATCTGACTCGGCGTATGGCGCCCAGTGCGCGGGCGTGGCATCATTTTCCTCACGTTCTGTGTTATTACTTGTACCTACAATAAATAAAATATTGAATGTGAGTGTTAATAACAAAATAATATTATTTATTTTAACTTTTTAGTATAACTAGCGTAGTTTATATATGGATAATTTCTCTGTTCCTAAAGTATAACCTCCTCAATAATTGCTATAAAATGCAAAAACTTTTTAACAAAAAAATAAAAACCGACTTCAAACAAAAGCACTTAAAAGTAAAAAATAACTGATTGGTAGTTTTCATTTACTATACATACCTAATCAAATATTTTCGAAGTCGGTGTGCTTTGCTTTGTATGGGCTGGCACCGATTTCAAAAATATTTGATTAGGTATGTATAGTAAATGAAAACTACCAATCAGTTATTTTTTACTTTTTAGTGCTTTTGTTTGAAGTCGGTTTTTATTTTTTTGTTAAAAAGTTTTTATTTTTCCCTTTTTAGTGTAGATAGTAGTAGCAAAGTAAGAATTCTAACGTGTTAGGCTTGTCAAATCAAACAAAATAAGCCCAAACTCAAAGTATCTACTATAAGCCGTTGAAGAGTTCCACCTATCCACCTTCTGGCCTTACCATCAGATCAGGTCAACAATACCGAACCACTGTACTATCAACGGAAATAGAAACACTTGCAAAGTTTCAAGTCAATATGACAATTAGAAGTAGGTTAAATTCATCATTAGCTATTTTTCCACCCTTATGGGTGGTATTTTTTTTTTAATTTAAATGGGACCAATCTGGAAGTATACACTTTCAAACAACACTAAAATTGTCCAAATCGGTTAATAAATGACGGAGTTCTGAGGTAACAAACATAAAAAAAAAACAGTCGAATTGAGAACCTCCTTTTTGAAGTCGGTTGAAAAAAATTTAAATGTGTGTATATTATATAGGTATCTCTTTACATGAGGGCACTTGGGGCGGGTCTGGGCCTAGGCTTTTGCGGTTTCCGTACGACATGTCTTTGCATGGTAGTTTAGGTGCAGGCCTACCCTACCACCTCCTTCAGAGATGGTAGGGGGGCGTTGGTCTTGGGAGTAGCGCAGGTCGCAAAGATCCCCAAGGCAAGTTCGGTGGACTAGCCTTCTCGAGGTTGCCAGCCCTGTTATAGGTTTATTTCCATCCGAAATAGACATAACTGAAACCACCGGACGGTTCAACCCAGGGGAATATATAGTGTATGTAATATATGTAAAACTATTAATGTGTAGTCTACTCTTATTGTTTTCCCCACAATTAATATCACTGTATTATATAAAAACATCACGGCTAGTAGGCGGGCTGTGACTATTATAATATCTTAAAATAAATATATGTATGTTTATCATATTCATTATACATATCTATGTGCCTGGGCATGCACCGAAATAAGATAGCCCGTTATCTATGTACGTTTATCAGTTATTTTAATTCTATTGATATAATCGCCTACCTGCGCTAGAGCCTGCGCAGTTGAGCGCTGCACGTGCGGATGACGGAGTCCTGGGAGGTTGAGTCGCGCCAGACCAGCCGGCAACACGCCCCTTTGGTCCCGATTTCGTACTAAACAGTACCCCTGAGTCTAACCAGCTCGGGGGAAACGGCTTTACGTCCCGTCAGAGGGCCGTAGGTGAGGTGAGGGGGGGGGAAGCGGAAGGTCATGCTGATGGAGTAAGGGTGTGTGGAACAACTGGTTGGACCAGAATCCGGTCTACCAGCCACACATAGCATGCGGCCCCTGGGCACGTGCGTCTGAGCTCCTGATGTCGCACTGTACGCCACCCCTTCTTTCCTATATCTGCTAGGTAGTCCTAGTGCTCAAAGAGTACTCCCAGTTGCGGGCTCCGTGGAGGGTGGGAAGCCTGGCAGACGAATCCTACAACACTCAAACTATGGAAAATCAAGGATTCATAGAACTCAAAGCAAAGGTGGCATCTGAGGGACATCCCAAAGAAGCCCCTGCTAAACCTAATAAAACAAACGCGTCCGGTGAGCCAAGCACAGGGTTTCCTGTGGGAGGTTCCCACGCTAATCGCCAACAAGGAGGTAAAGGTAAAGCAGGTAAAGGAACTAAGGGGCAACCCAAAGCTCCCAAGCCAGCCTTACCAACCCCTAGTCAAGACCAACAAATGAAGTCAGTGGAGGCCACACAAGGCCCCCTTACTTCATTTAGCAAGGGCCACCCCAAGTCGGTTGCGCCGACCGCGCTCACTGGTGGCGAGGTGGCAACCAGATCACTGGAGGCCCCCCCATCTATGAGTGGGGCCGGAGCAACCAGCAAGGGAATGAGGGGGGTTGTAGATGCCCCACCGGCACCCCAGACCGACTCAACGAGAGCCGCCGCTGAAGCTAACGAGGAGGCATCCAGGAAACTGGTATTGCCCCCGTCTGCCAACGCGAAAGCAATCGGGACAGCCGGGAAGGAGGCGGCCACGGCAGCACCTGCAACCACCCACACAAGCCCCGAAACAGCAGGAGGTCCATGGACGGTGGTAACCTCCCGCAAAACAAACAAGCACCCTCGTTCGGAGGCTAATCAACCAAACACTGGTAATGCTGAAGCAAAGGAACCAGGTAAAAAGCTCAGAAAGAGGCCAAACGCAGCTACCAGATGGAAGCGCAAGCTGAAGGCCAAAACTGCATCAAAAACATCTGCACCTAACACCACGCAAGGCACTTCAACCTCGGAACCAAGTGCGAGTGGCACGCAGCCCCTAAAGGCAGGGACCTCTGGTTCCACTGAGGGCGGCAGCAGAACTAACAAGAGGCATCGTCCTGACGAGACAATGACCCCTAGTGGAGCAAAGAAGAAGGCGCGCACGGGTGCCACCCCAAGAAGTTATGCTGAGGCCGCTAAATCTGACCTTATGGCGGCAATCACAGCTGACAACTTGGGGCACCTGAGCAAAGAACAGGCGGAAGAGGTCCAGGAGGTGCTTACCAGCAAACTCTGGTCTCTAGTCCAGACCAAAGCAGACAATCCACCAACATTTCAGGGTAGACCCTCCTATTTTGGTGGATCCTTACAAATATGGTGCACAAATGCGGAGGCCATGGAATGGCTAAAAACAGCAATACATGGTCACACGCTAACTTCGGGAGTTAAGGTAGAGGTCCGGAAGCATTCGGATCTCCCTAAGAAAGTTAGATGCGGCATATTAATACCGGGGAAAGCTGAAACCAGCCAAATGGGTGAGGCTCTCCGATATTTTAACCCGTGGGCAGGAGTGGAGCGCTGGCTACTACACACTGCTCAACAACAAACCTCGGGAACCTTCATCGTGGTTAGCATACCAGAGGACCTGATCCCTGAAATAATTAAACGTGGACGGCAACTCAGCTACCTACTGGGCGCCGTCTACGTAAAGTTCGAATTACGGAAGGGCAGGTTCTCTGAACTACCGCCGGAACAAGCCGATGCTAACAACAAGGCTATGGAACCATCGGACACCCCAACGGAGCAGCCCGATCAGCAACAGCACCCCAGCACCAGCGGCGGTGACAACAGCGTACCTCCTCTGGGTCCCTCCGACTCACCGCACGATCTGACAGTCGTCGAAATGGCGAGCGTCAGTGATGAGGCGGAGAGCATCGGGGACTGGGCCCAGGGGATGGAGGAGCTCGATCTTGGTACAGGAGATGACGACTCTGATGACGGAGTCCCCTTTACCAAGTAGTCGAGCTCTCCAAATCAACCTCCACCACAGTCTCACCGCTACAGCGCAGCTACGCAAGTGGCTGGAGGTAAACAACACAGTCGTAGCCTTCATCCAAGAACCCTGGCTATCTAGGTCAGGGTCGATACAAGGATTGAACAACCTCAAAGGTAAGCTAATAACAAGCAACGAACCCCAGACAAGGGCCGCTATTTACATTTCAAATAACATTCCTGTGCAGGTCCTAACCGACTTCTGTTCCAGAGACATCTGCACAATAAAAACAGCCAAAACCCAGACGACGTCGCGGGAAGTAGTCCTCACATCGGTTTACATGCCGGATGGAGAGGACCCCCCCCCACAAGACCTGGTGCGACTCGTCAACTACTGCGAAGCAGAGGGGCTAGACATCATCGTTGCCACAGACTCTAACTGCCATCACACGATCTGGGGTAATGAAAAAACAAATGTCAGAGGTAGGATACTAATTGAATACTTATCAACTACTAACTTAGACATTATTAACACAGGCAACAAGCCTACCTTTGTAACAAGACGTGCCAATAGCATTATTGACCTCACGCTAGCAAACGACGGGGGTGCCAAACTGATATCCAACTGGCATGTGTCTGATGAAGCCTCTTGCTCAGACCACAGATGGATACGTTTTGAACTAGGTTTATCCACTACACCCCCTCAACCCTTTAGGAACGTACGAAAGACAAACAAAGATGAATTTCGTAAACTACTAGTCGACGGCCTGCGGGCACTTGACTACCCTGACAGACTAACCGACACGGATAGTATCGAACAACTGGTCACTAAACTAACGCAGTTAATGACTACATGTTACGAAGCAACTTGCCCACTAACCTATCCTCCGTCAAACCCACTTGACAGAGGATCCTGGTGGGGCCCAGAGTTAAAACGCCTTAGAACCAAGGTCAGGAAAGCCTTCAATAGAGCTATGAATACATACAACGATCTAGATTGGGACCACTACAAAAATGTTAAAGCCAAGTACAAAAAACGAATAAGATACTGGAGGAATCGTGCTTGGCGAAAATACTGTGAGTCCATAGAATCGTTTATACAGGCAAACAGAATTCGTAAAATTCTTACCGGACAACCACAGCGGGAACTGGGTTCCTTAAGGAAACCGGACGGCACATATACCAAATCATTGGAAGAAGCACACCGAGTACTTCTGCAGACGCACTTCCCCGACTGCTCAATGATTAACGAAACCAAATGGTTAGATGTCAACCACAACATAACAGACACATCCATGCAACTTGCAACGGAGGTCATAAGCCCAAAGAAAATAGCATGGGCCATTAAAAGCTTTCAGCCCTTCAAGGCACCAGGCCTAGACGGCATTTACC